ATATTTCATTGATTAAATTAATTTTTTAACAAACAATAACAGATATCTGAAACCAACTTTCCATAAATAAATTTCTTAAGATTAATAACCCTCATGAAATATTTTTTTGATAAATTCCTATTCTAAATAAGTATCTCAAACTATTTTTATTTCAATTTATATTAAATTACTGCTCCCATAAATTAGAATTCTGTTTATCTTTATAATTTTAGATATTAATAAATGATAATAGTTAAAGAAAATCATAAAATTTAAACCTTAACCAAAAATGAGTGGATTTGTTTCCACTTAGAATTTAATTTTATCTTACAGTTTTAGTATCGAAAAATCGAGAAAACTGTATTGAGTATACCTTGAATTCAATATTCATTAACAATAATTAATCAGAGTTTGCAAATCATTTTGTGCTAAAACTGTTATATGCAATTCCTTTTAAAAATCCTCATGTTATTTTTAGCCCTTTAAATAATAGATTTATCAATACTTAAATAGTTTCAACTAAAAAATCATAAAATTTGAAATTGAAGACATTTGTTCAATAGGATCAGGTGTATACACATTTTGTTGTTATTATATATTGTCATCAATAACAATCAAGTCATTCAAATTGCTGATTTAATGATGATTCATTAAAATAGTATGCTAATATTTCAGATCTAATTGTTCATTTATCTAAAATACTTTTATTATTTCTTAAATATATTTATTTATATGCTTAGTTAATAAAATTATATACAATCTTCATTTTTTATTTCTTAAGACAAATATCATGAATATTTATATCTATTTAATATCCAATCATTTTTACTTGAATAACTTAGAAATTCAATTTATCAGAATTAATTATATCATAAATTCCTTATTATTCAAGTTCTATTTTATTTTGAGATAAGCCTTTATAATTCCAAAAACCAATATTAATTTTAGTACTATTTTATTATTACATATCTTGAGGTCCTTTCATATCCATTTTAGCAATATAGATATTACTAATGAATAAAGAATTTTTAGAAGATCAAAACTATTCATCATTTTTAACATGATTTCTATTTCAATATAATTAAAAATTAATGAATAAAAACCAAGTTATTTAAATAAATTCTGAGTATGAGAGAATAAAATTTACTTTTCCTGTTTTAGAGAAGTTTATTATAATGGTATAATATCAATAGAAAATATAAATAGGACTTAAACAATAAAATAGCTTTGGAGGATTTGAAATTCACTTTTACAAATATCTTAAAGGTAGATCTATTTGCCAAAAAGCTTAGTTTTTTGATTAAAAAAGGGTTTCTATAAATTGAATTGAATTCATAACAATCTCTAAAAGGGCAAATTGCTTTAGAAAATTATAAAAAAGAATAAGCTCATATTGAAGTGATTGTCAAATTTTTTGAAGAAGGAGCTTGATAATAAAGTTGATACATATTTTTATAAATTGAGTTAAAAAAAGAATTATTGTTTGTTCATACCAAAATTGAAAAACTTCAATCATTTTTTAAATAAAACAATTTCTAGAGATTTGATTTTAGAATTCTAATTTTTTTTATGAGTTGACTTATATTAAATATAAAATCAGTTTAAGTTATCATAAAGTCGATTCCCCTAACAATCGAAATATTAGGTGATCTAGATTTACCATTAAAGAATGAAAACTCTTTTAGGATCAGAACCTGATATAGAAATTAAATATAAATTTAGGCCATTTGAAAGTAGGATTGTTTTATCGAAAAGAGAATCATATTAAAGAAGTCATAGATTTTTCTAATGAAGAATATTATCAAAATATTTTAATACTGTATTCTAAAAATGGGAATTTTAGTCAAAATATAGAATTACAATTAAATATTAAAAATTTTGATATTAAGTTATTTAAGAAATAGTTATTAATTCATTAAATGATAAATAAAGTTAATGGGATATATAATTAACAATTTAAATTAGTTAAAAAAGTGAACTAAAAATGATATTTATAAAGTTTGAGATAATTAATTATCAATGACTACATAATTGATTTTAATTATATGAGTTACTTTATACTATTTAGATTAAATAGTACTTTAATTTTATAGGAAAAATTGATAATTCAATATTCTGTTTTTAGGGGTAGGATATAGAATAAGGTCATAAAATTTGAAATCATTTTAGATAAGAAATAATCCATTTTTTCTTTAAAAGTTTGGAAATGGTCATAAACTGTTCTTCATGTTTAAATCAAAATATAACTTATTGAATATATATTTTGTTTTGGAGATCAATTTCTAACATTATAAGGCAATTTTCTAATTATAAAATATATGAAATAAAATTGTTAGAAGTTAATTAAAAACACATATTAAATAATTAAAAACTTAAATTTAATCTTTACTAAAGATAAATATGGCTTTTGATAATAATCTTTACTGATTTTTCAAGAATAGGAAACTGGTAAAAATTAAAATTTTTGGAAAAAAACAAGAATTAGATATCAATTAAAATATTTTTTTGATAGTGTTGTAAATCAAAATTTGTTATGTTCAATTATATTTTGAGATCTTAATTTCAATTCTTAACTATTTTAGTGATATAGGTCATAATTTAATAATACTAAGATTATTCAATCTTTGAAATATATATTTTTTAATTAAGAAGAGCTCGAATGTACATTTAACTTAAATGGTAATATTTTATTAGTTAATACATATAATCTCTGCCTTTTTGAGTTTTCCTTTTAAATTTTTAAATTTTAATTCAATAAATATAAATATACAAAATTATATGATCCAGAAAAATGTAATATAAATCTGAATAGTATATCAAAATTAATTTAAGTGTTCCAAATTGGAAGAGTCTGCACATTTCGATTAACAACAAGGGAATAAATATCTCTAGAATGGTTGTAAAAGGAGCATTAAGGCCTACGATTCCAAAACTTTACAACGAGTTCGTAACATTAAACTCTTTATTACAAATACTCTAACATTTCGTACAGCCAGTATTTTTTTATTACCAATTTACTTTCCAAAGGCTTTCCTCTACTATTATTCTTCTGTAAAAAAATCAAAATAATTTAAAACAATTATAGAAAAGTTCTATTCTTTTTAATACTTAATTTTCTATTTTTAAATTAAAACTTAGTCTTTTATTGCTCAAGATTATGTTTAGATAAACTTTTAAATTAAATTAAATTTCATAATTGACTGAAAAACTTCTCTATCAGTTAATTCTTAAATTTTTGCATAGTCCTTTATTTTGATAACTCTTATCTTGTAAGTAATCTTTTGTTATAATTATACTTACTTTTAAACCATGTTTTTCATAAATATTGATTTTTAAATACATTGATAATATTTCTTCCAAGCCTATTTAAATCTATCAAGATAACTCTAGAAAGGTAGATATTTAATTTTATAATTAGTTTGATAAAAATCAACTTTCTATCATTCTTGTACATATATTACTCTAACAGACATATTTGTCCATTAAATTTATCTGATTTCTTCTAAAATTATGTCTATTCAGTAGTAAAATAAACTAGTTTTCAGATTATATAATTTTATATCTAGTTATTGTTGAGGATGTTTTAAATCCAAACTTTTAAAATATATAAACAATAATTGTATCAGTGGTAAATAATCAAAATTCATAAATATTAAGCACATTTGCCCTATTCAATCTTTATTGTTATAATTTTCTTTTTCTTCTTTCAATTTGGTGATATAATTTTATATCTTGATGTTAACCTCATAATTATATTCTTAAGCTGGATCAAAGAACTAATATTTTATCTATGCTGTTTATTTCTTGAAAATAACTACATCAGTAAAATATGCAAAAATTTAATGATTTTAGTAAGTTATTTTATTTATCCTTCAATAAATTTTTTTTAATTAATCTTAAACCTAGCATTTTCAATCTAATCTTCTACAAATACTTTATAACTTAATTAAATTCCAAATCATACATAAAAAGTTTTAATAAATACCTATTATATACTCCCTTTTAAAAATAGATCTTGCTCTTTTCTTAATGGTCATAGATGTAGAGTTTCTAATTTATCCCATTCTAAAGCATAAATTTCATAAATCTTGATTTTTTTTCTTGATCTTTTCTTACTAAAAAAATATTTAGCCTTTTCACTATATTTGATAATACTAAGAAGATAAATTTGTTATTTCTTAGCCATTTAAAAATTTATGTTCCCTTATGATAGCATCTACTAAAGAATAGATTTTTATTGGTATTTATGTCTTAAGGTGTATATTTAGTTTATCAAAAATGTTGATAGTAATCTAATTTATTACAATCATTCTTTACCTACATGTGTACTAGTTAGTATCAAAATTATTGTAATTATTCTTAGCTTTATACCTAGCATACAACTTAATCATATTTTTATCTCTACATTAAATGCTTTAAAGAAATTATTTATATTTTGTATCTAGGTTACTTATTTAAAAAATCAATATTACATATAATTTTGATGTAAAATTTATGCTGAGGATAACTTAAATTAATAAAAATGAATAATATTATTACTATTATTTTATCAATCATATTCTTAGGATCAAAATGTTATATGATTTTATTGTTTATTAATCATTCATACTGATTAAATAATTTATTAAATTCATTACACTTATGAACAATTTGAAAATTTTATTCTTGCTCAATCATTTTGTGATTATATACAAGAGAAATTTTTAATTTTATTATTTTACTTCACATTACTTAATTTAGGAGGATCTTTAATTATACTCAAAAATATTGCTTTGTTGATTTTATGAATTTATATTTAATTTAATTCAAAATAATTTAAGAAATTTGAATAGGAGAGAAATAATAAGAAGAAAAACGAGTTAAATAATTTTCATTATAATTCACGTAATGGCTATTTTCTTTGATAATCATATTGAAAACTGATTTAAAAACTAAGTTACTGTAGAAAGGTGTAAATCACTTATTTGATATGTTTCAAGCATTTATTTAAATAATACTTAAGACAAAGTAACATTGTTGATTTTTCACAATAATTGTCTTCATTTATAATTAAGACTAATTTCACTCTTCTAACTTAATATGTTAAATAAGAAATGCGATTAGTACAAAATATAAATTTAAATTTCAATATAAAAAGAAGTAATAAATTTNCAGTATTTTTTTATCACCAATTTACTTTCCAAAGGCTTTCCTCCACTATTATTCTTCTGTAAAAAAATCAAAATAACTTAAAACAATTATAGAAAAGTTCTATTCTTTTTAATACTTAATTTTCTATTTTTAAATTAAAACTTAGTCTTTTATTGCTCAAGATTATGTTTAGATAAACTTTTAAATTAAATTAAATTTCATAATTGACTGAAAAACTTCTCTATCAGTTAATTCTTAAATTTTTGCATAGTCCTTTATTTTGATAACTCTTATCTTGTAAGTAATCTTTTGTTATAATTATACTTACTTTTAAACCATGTTTTTCATAAATATTGATTTTTAAATACATTGATAATATTTCTTCCAAGCCTATTTAAATCTATCAAGATAACTCTAGAAAGGTAGATATTTAATTTTATAATTAGTTTGATAAAAATCAACTTTCTATCATTCTTGTACATATATTACTCTAACAGACATATTTGTCCATTAAATTTATCTGATTTCTTCTAAAATTATGTCTATTCAGTAGTAAAATAAACTAGTTTTCAGATTATATAATTTTATATCTAGTTATTGTTGAGGATGTTTTAAATCCAAACTTTTAAAATATATAAACAATAATTGTATCAGTGGTAAATAATCAAAATTCATAAATATTAAGCACATTTGCCCTATTCAATCTTTATTGTTATAATTTTCTTTTTCTTCTTTCAATTTGGTGATATAATTTTATATCTTGATGTTAACCTCATAATTATATTCTTAAGCTGGATCAAAGAACTAATATTTTATCTATGCTGTTTATTTCTTGAAAATAACTACATCAGTAAAATATGCAAAAATTTAATGATTTTAGTAAGTTATTTTATTTATCCTTCAATAAATTTTTTTTAATTAATCTTAAACCTAGCATTTTCAATCTAATCTTCTACAAATACTTTATAACTTAATTAAATTCCAAATCATACATAAAAAGTTTTAATAAATACCTATTATATACTCCCTTTTAAAAATAGATCTTGCTCTTTTCTTAATGGTCATAGATGTAGAGTTTCTAATTTATCCCATTCTAAAGCATAAATTTCATAAATCTTGATTTTTTTTCTTGATCTTTTCTTACTAAAAAAATATTTAGCCTTTTCACTATATTTGATAATACTAAGAAGATAAATTTGTTATTTCTTAGCCATTTAAAAATTTATGTTCCCTTATGATAGCATCTACTAAAGAATAGATTTTTATTGGTATTTATGTCTTAAGGTGTATATTTAGTTTATCAAAAATGTTGATAGTAATCTAATTTATTACAATCATTCTTTACCTACATGTGTACTAGTTAGTATCAAAATTATTGTAATTATTCTTAGCTTTATACCTAGCATACAACTTAATCATATTTTTATCTCTACATTAAATGCTTTAAAGAAATTATTTATATTTTGTATCTAGGTTACTTATTTAAAAAATCAATATTACATATAATTTTGATGTAAAATTTATGCTGAGGATAACTTAAATTAATAAAAATGAATAATATTATTACTATTATTTTATCAATCATATTCTTAGGATCAAAATGTTATATGATTTTATTGTTTATTAATCATTCATACTGATTAAATAATTTATTAAATTCATTACACTTATGAACAATTTGAAAATTTTATTCTTGCTCAATCATTTTGTGATTATATACAAGAGAAATTTTTAATTTTATTATTTTACTTCACATTACTTAATTTAGGAGGATCTTTAATTATACTCAAAAATATTGCTTTGTTGATTTTATGAATTTATATTTAATTTAATTCAAAATAATTTAAGAAATTTGAATAGGAGAGAAATAATAAGAAGAAAAACGAGTTAAATAATTTTCATTATAATTCACGTAATGGCTATTTTCTTTGATAATCATATTGAAAACTGATTTAAAAACTAAGTTACTGTAGAAAGGTGTAAATCACTTATTTGATATGTTTCAAGCATTTATTTAAATAATACTTAAGACAAAGTAACATTGTTGATTTTTCACAATAATTGTCTTCATTTATAATTAAGACTAATTTCACTCTTCTAACTTAATATGTTAAATAAGAAATGCGATTAGTACAAAATATAAATTTAAATTTCAATATAAAAAGAAGTAATAAATTTGATGATTTATTTAATTTATGAAGTTTATTTTGAAATTATTTTGTAATTAAAAATAAATAAATATNAATTTATGTTCCCTTATGATAGCATCTACTAAAGAATAGATTTTTATTGGTATTTATGTCTTAAGGTGTATATTTAGTTTATCAAAAATGTTGATAGTAATCTAATTTATTACAATCATTCTTTACCTACATGTGTACTAGTTAGTATCAAAATTATTGTAATTATTCTTAGCTTTATACCTAGCATACAACTTAATCATATTTTTATCTCTACATTAAATGCTTTAAAGAAATTATTTATATTTTGTATCTAGGTTACTTATTTAAAAAATCAATATTACATATAATTTTGATGTAAAATTTATGCTGAGGATAACTTAAATTAATAAAAATGAATAATATTATTACTATTATTTTATCAATCATATTCTTAGGATCAAAATGTTATATGATTTTATTGTTTATTAATCATTCATACTGATTAAATAATTTATTAAATTCATTACACTTATGAACAATTTGAAAATTTTATTCTTGCTCAATCATTTTGTGATTATATACAAGAGAAATTTTTAATTTTATTATTTTACTTCACATTACTTAATTTAGGAGGATCTTTAATTATACTCAAAAATATTGCTTTGTTGATTTTATGAATTTATATTTAATTTAATTCAAAATAATTTAAGAAATTTGAATAGGAGAGAAATAATAAGAAGAAAAACGAGTTAAATAATTTTCATTATAATTCACGTAATGGCTATTTTCTTTGATAATCATATTGAAAACTGATTTAAAAACTAAGTTACTGTAGAAAGGTGTAAATCACTTATTTGATATGTTTCAAGCATTTATTTAAATAATACTTAAGACAAAGTAACATTGTTGATTTTTCACAATAATTGTCTTCATTTATAATTAAGACTAATTTCACTCTTCTAACTTAATATGTTAAATAAGAAATGCGATTAGTACAAAATATAAATTTAAATTTCAATATAAAAAGAAGTAATAAATTTGATGATTTATTTAATTTATGAAGTTTATTTTGAAATTATTTTGTAATTAAAAATAAATAAATATTAATCAAAAATGTATTACCATACGTATTTGGCCTGTTCATATTTAAAATCATAAAATTAAGAAATTTCAATTGATGAAGATTATATTGAGTGAATCTTAAGTAGACCATTTATAATTTTAGCATCAAAGTAGAAAATCATATTTGCATCTAAAAGGGGAATCATGTGAAATTTCATCCCAATATTAAAGTAAAGAGTATTCAAAACAAAGAAAAAATTAATTAATTATTTAATATATCAAGGTTATGGATCAAGAAATTAATGCATTAGAATAGAAAAAATTAATAAGATATTAAATCTTGCAATTAAACCTTAATAGAAAAAAAAAAGCAATTCAGAAAAGAAAAGATTTAGATAATTAGTCTAATTGTAAAGGCCTTATCATTAACATAAAGAAAACTCTTAAGTTAAAGCACAATCAATTATATCTCCTAAGGAGAATTACTTTGATTATGAGGAAGATTATATTATTATAAAATAGGATAAATATAAAGAACTACCCATAAGATTTTCAACCTTTTAAACTTAAAGCTTTTTATAGGCTTTAACTTTGGATCAATTAGAGCATTATTAATATCATGAGGAAATATCAAAAAATAATACTAATATTTTTACTTGGTGAGACAAAAATGGATTCTTAATAAGGAATTATTGTTAATCTTATTATAACAAGATTGTAATATTTGATTAGTAATTTACATGAATCATTATGATGAATTCAAGAGAATCCTTTAAATTTTTAGATTTGAACAGAAAAATGAATGATTATTATATCTATATAAGATTTTTGTATTTTTTTATTCAAACTGATATATAGTGAGATTTACTTTCTTAAAAATTATATACTTTTTAGAAATAATTAATATTCTTCGGTACTATTTTTTACAACTTTGCTGTTATTGTAAAATCATAGTGATAATATTTTTTCTATACTTTCGAAAGTTCTGATTGATTGATTATGGCAAAAAAAAGTTAAAGGGGAATTGATTGTATTGAAAGTTTTATTGTTTTTACTCTACTTTAGATATCTCGATAATGTTGCAATATAAATGAAAATTTATTTAAATCAATTCACTATGTATTCGCCTTCTCAAGCATTCTTTAAGACCTTAAGGAAGATCTTCAATATTTAATATTCAATTTTGATAATCTAATTCTTTCCTCAATTTTATTTATTACATATTTGGAGATTCTCAAATAAATTTAAAAAATGATTCACAATCTTTAAAAAATAATCTTTAGTGAATTGAAAAATTTGATATCATCAAATTAATTATTGCTTAATAGTCATTTTTTCATCTTTTCGAAGTAAAATAATAGAGGCACAAAAATGATTTATGAATATTGATAAGATCAATAATACATTCAAGTATATATAAAATTGTATAAAATCTAAGATATTAATTTGAGAAAACAAAAAAAGATAAAATTAATTTACTAAATTAATTTAATAATTCAAATGCTTTAAATAAAATTATCTCCTCTACAATTTAATTATTTAGTATCTACTTCATTTAGAAATTTTAATTTTCTATAACAATAATTAGCTCTTGAATAGCAAAAATTTCAACAATTTATTCCATATTGCATTCTATTAATTTAATATTATTGTCAAAAGTATATTAAGATTATAAACTATTCTAATTTCTCTAAAATAAAAAAATTCTATTTATTTCTTTTTATCTTATTCACAAATTAATGAAAAGAATACATTAATAAAGTATTTTGTTTTATCTAAGAGTATTCTATAATTTCCATTGTTATTGAAAATTTGGCTCTCCTAATCAAATTTAAGTTATATAATGGACTAAATGTTTTAATCTAAATATTATTTTTGAGTTATTTAAATTTTCTTCTATCTAAAAGATTAAAAGACTGTTGAAAAAGTCTTGGAAATCCAGATTTTTTAATGAAAAATTATTAGAAAATAAGTATCTCCTGGTTATTCATATATTTTATAAACTAAATTTCCAGGATTCTTTGCTAAATCTTGAGATTGATATAGATTTATAGCTTCATTTGGAGTTAAATTAAAACCTAAATAGGGGGTTATAAATATTTATCTGGCAATATAGGAATAGTGTATTAGACATAACTAAATGCATAGAATTATCCTAAATTAACAAACGCATCATGTATACCTAAAATGATTTGATAGCCTATTTGCTTCAAATTATTGGTATTTAATATGCCTAATTATCTAATTAATTTTATAAGAAAATACTTCAATTTTAAAGTTTATTTAGATTTCGAAAGAAATGCTAGTTAAAGTTAGAAATCCAGTCAAAGCATTTGGATTATTATAAATAATTGTTTCATTTTTTGGATCGTTTCTATTAAAATTATTAATGACTTATATTCTTTGATCATTAATTGCATGCCATTTAACATTTACTTAACGAACATAACTTATACATTCATAATACATTATAAAACCTAAATTGATAATTAATAAATTACTTTAAATTGTAATAGATTAAATTTCAAATCAAAAGTCGACTACATTGGATAAAAAATTAATTTAGGATTGAGTAATAATAATTTGAGGAATTTCTTGATATTATTTTCTAAAAGTAACTTATACAAGTGTTCTTGAACAATCTAATACTTAGACTCCAAATTAATATTCGCTTTATGAAAATGCTTTTAAAATCAATAGTAGTAAAATTAACATTTATTAATATATATTATTAATATATTTTTAAGAACAAATTTCACTTATGACATATGAACTATTGAACCGTTTAAAAATGAAGCATCAATTTAAATTAAAACAAGTAATCCTAGTTTATTTGCTTTCCTTAAGGTTGATACATTTTAGAAAGTTAAGTTGTAAATGTACTTTAATTAAAATACTAATTTTTGCCTATATTAATCTAAAACTATATAATAAATTGATAATTTGAGTCATTAACATAAGTTATATAAATTTATTAATTTAAATTCTATTCAATTCAAAGATAAAACATTAATAATTTTCCTTATGCTATTAATAATAATAAGTAATTATAACAATTAAATATAACATCTTAGCCTTTATTACTAATTTTATAGATAGCTTAAATAATTGAAAAACAAGGATAGTAACAATATATTAATTATAAAGTTATTGTTTTTTTTTGTGGAAAATAATAATAAATTCTAAATTAAGAAACTAAAGTAACACTAATATTTTAAAAGTTTCCTAGTTTGAATTAATTATTAATAATGATCATACAAATATATCTAAACTTAAGGAATAAATATTAAATTGTAATTGAAATTTATGCCATCATATCAGATTAGCATTATGATTTTTAAAAGTATTCTCTAACTAACCATAAGCCTTTTGAAAGAAATTCTTATTAAGTTCATTCAAATATTTAATGCTAATTTTGCTTTGAATCCAAATTGCAGGCAACTTTACTAAAAATCTAAAAAGTTATAATCTTTACTGCTAATTAATATTCTACCTATGAGTTCCCTAAGTATTTAGACTATTGATTGTATTTTTTCTATATTTCCTTAACTTCTGTCAGTTCATATTGGTAGATGCTTCGACTAATTTTGCATAATTATAGGCTTAATAGTTACCATTCATATAAATAATCAAAAGCCTCTGGTTTTGAATTTAATTTAAGTATTATTTCTAATTGTTAATAACTAATTAAATTATTTTATTTTTATTTGAGAATAAGTTTGTTTAATTATCACTGTATTTATCTTTTAAATACCCCTATTTCTTATTATATTAATTTATTCTGAGTTAATTAGTAATAATACTTTTTGTACTTTGTTTGTGATAACTAGAAAAAATAAAAAAAATACTTTTTTACCCATATATTTTTTTAAGTAATTGTGTAAAATGGTAAATTTTATACCTTTTAAGAATAGACATTGTATTAGTTGATTATTTCTATAAGAAACTTTCTAATAAAAAGTAAAATTTACAAAGCAAACATCTCTAATAGATATTTATAATTAATAAAAGCAAAAAATTATGATTTATCATTGTTTCTCACATGAACTAAAAAAATCTAGAATGTATTAATATATTTAATGTTAATGTATTTCAATTAAGAAAAATATATAAATAGATATTTAAGATATATGATAATTAAAAGTAAATCGATTAAAAAATGGTAGTTTTAGAATTAGAGTTTAATGAATAAAATAAATCTGCATAATTTAAAATTAGAGTTTAATCATATTGGTTTGTTAATAATTATAATCACCATTTTAATTCGTATATGAATTAATTTTTTAGATAAAAATAAAACATATTATTAATTAAGGGGGTGAATTTTTTCAAAATATAATCAAAAAAAGTAATAGAAAATGCATTAATTATTTATGTCTGCATCTGATGCTACTGTGTTTCTTAACAGAGGTAAATCATCTAGTCATATAATTAGAAAATGTATTTTATAACAAAGGAGAAAATGAAAAAGCACTCCAAGACTACAACATGGCCATCCAATTAAATCCAAATGGTCATCAAATTAAATCTAAATTATGCTACTGCGTATTACAACAGAGGTAAATCATCTAGTCATATAATTAGGAGTTCTATTTGATAAAACAGGAGAAAATGAAAAAGCACTCCAAGACTACAACATGGCCATCCAATTAAATCCAAATTATGCTACTGCGTATATATACAGAGGTAAATCATCTAGTCATATAATTAGGAAATGTATTTGATAACAAAGGAGAATATGAAAAAGCACTCCAAGACTACTAAAAGGCTGTCAAATTATAACCAGATAATCCACTTTTTGTAACAAACTTAGGAAGTCTCTATTTCAAATAAAAATAATTTTCTTAAGCAAATATTTATTTTACGAAAACACAAGAATCATTAGATTCGATTAATCCACAATAGATATTGAAATGGAATCTATCTAATTCAAATCTTTCATTTATTTAAATAAAACTTAATCTACTTAGAGAAATTTAAAATTTGATATAAACAACAGATGTTTAAATTAATTATTTATCTTAATAATTATAAAGATAGAAATCTATTTAATTAGAGGAATAAGCCTAGAAACTAATTAATGAATTTACATAACAAATTCCGCCATTAGATCCTTAATTTAATGCAAATCAATAAACAAACTACCTTTAGATTATGGAACAATTTGAAAAAAGGTTGAATGATTTTTAAAACCAAATAACTACGCTCTCAATAAATGTCAATTCACTTTTAGAATAAGATAATTATAAGGTTTCTGAATCTCTAAAACAATTAAATAAAAAAGAAAATAAGAACTAATTGATGTATTATAATGCTTTAGCTTGGAGATTATTTAATTATTTATCTGCAATGTAATAGATTTCCACTAATCTATTTTAAGTTAATAAAAATGCAATAATCGAAAGTAAGTCTGAATAAACTTTAAATGTTTTTCAAAAGATGTTAAATATAGGATCCTAGATCTTTGGAGGATTACCTATTGTTGGGAACGCTTTTAACATAATTAATGCTGCTCTCGATTTTGGATTTGAATATCATAAAGAGCATAAATTTACTACCAGATTAAGAAAAC